AAAACACCGTAAGCGCCTGTTATAATTGAAAAAGACCTCTAAGCGTGACTTTCTGTAGAAAATAAACTTTATAGTTCATTGACCTTCTTTGGCTTTTTCAGGCTTTACACCAGAGTTAATGAGGACCTCTTTGAAAGACCGGTTTACAAAGCCTTGATCGCAATGTATGAAGCCAAGGTGTTCTCCCCAGACGTAAGCCTTAAGAAATACTTCTTATTTCTATTAAAGTTGACCCCTTTAAAGTTTTTAAATTTCTCCTCTTTTCTGGAAAACAAAGGAAATGTTTTAGGTTTGTGTTAAAGAGCCCGACATGAACGGTTTCAGAAAGCAGTACATTCTTAATGTATTTGACACCTTCACAAACACAACTGTTTTCCAATTAGCTTTCAAATATCTACAGAGCATTGGTAAGAAAATAATAGTTGCAAAACAATTTTACGTTTTCTCTTTTTTTTTTCAACGTTAAAATCTGTTTAGGCAAAGCTGGAGACTGGGCATCATTCCGACCGAAATTGTGGACACTATGGATGGGTACTTACAGTCGATGCTCAGGAACCCTGGGAAGCTCAGGTTTCCTTCAATTTTCCAAAACAGATCTGAAACTGAAAATTGAGTCGTAATTTTCTTTAATTTCAACTACTTCTGCTGAATCAATATTTTTAGGATTTGAACATGTATTCTCTGGCGAATGGAAAGGTTCGAAAGTTGACGGTCATCACAGCTGGGTGAACTACTACCGACAAGAGAAGGCTGGCGATATTAACTACCATGGCTACATTTCCTACGATGACGTAAGTCTAATCAGATTGAAAACGCGTTTCTTAAACGTCATTTTTTTTAAAATAAAAATTCTCGACAACGCTGTAGAGAAAAGAGCGAAAATAAAATAAATGCAGTTCCATTATACTAAATGCTTTCAAATTTTTTTAGAAACTCACTGGCACATTCCAATATACTTGGGGTAATTACTTGAAGAACGTCGGTGGCTTCAACACTGGAACTTCACCAGGCATGCGTTGAGGACACTTTAACTGATATAATCAACAGATTGTTAAATCG